TGGTTAAGCGTCCGACTTTCGCTTAGGTCATGATCTCGTGGTTCATGGGTTCGAGCCCCGTGTCGGGCTCTGTGCTGACTGCCAGCTCAGAGCCTGGAGCCTGTTTCAGTCTGTGACTCCCTCTCTCTCTGACCCTCCCCTACTCATGCTGTCTCTCTCTTTCTCTCTCCTAGAAATAAATAAAATATTAAAAAAAAATACCTTTGAATGCATCAGTACATAAGCCAAGTATATGATTACATCTAGCTTTCCTGTACTGGACTGATTTGGTGATTTCTGTTTTCCTAATATTCAGGAAAGGGGTACTGCCCTTCCTCCCTGTCATCAACAGCCCAGCCATTAAGCTAAAGCATCACACATGCCCCTGACACCCCTAACAATGGGTGACCTCTAAGAAGCTCACCCAGCCTTGTAATTGCACAGACCTTGTTCTGTGAGGCAGGTTAATCAGCCTTGGTCTGTGTAAAAAAAAAAAAAAAATCACACATATTCCTAACGGATTATTTTTTGTGGCCTTTAAATTTTCTTCTTTATTATTTATTTATTTTTGAGAGAGGGAGAGAACACAAGCAGGGGAAGGGCAGAGAAAGACAGGGAGACAGAGAATCCCAAGCAGCCTCTGCGTTGTCAATGCACAGCCCAATGTGGGGTTCAAACCCACAAACCATGAGATCATGACCTGAGCTGAAATAAAGAGCTGGAGGCTTAACTCACTGAGCCACCCAGGCACACTTGAAATTTCTGATTGAATAATGAAGGGTTATGAAGTTTCTTGTTGATAGTTTTGTCAAAACAGTTTCTTAAAAATCAATTTTATTTTTAGAGCAGTTCTAGGCTCCCAGCAAAGCTGAGAATGTACAGAGATTACTCACACTCCCCCTGATACACAGCCCGTGCGGATGGGCACGCTATTCTCTACTTCAGCTCACGATGTATTACAAATACCATAGATTGGGTGGTCTAAACAGCAGAATTTATTTTCTCACATTTATCTTGCAGATCCCAGAAGACAGCCAGTACACAGAGCTCTTATTTTTTTCTGTGAGTGCGTATCACTTTGTTGTTCGGATATGTAATAGTTTACATAACTAACCCCCTGTGGTGGGTACCAGGCTGTTTACAATTCTTCGCTATTATAAGCAACGCTGCAGTGAATAACCTTGTATGCTGTCAGCTCATACTTGCACAGGTGCACCTGCAGAATGGATTCCTAGATGGGGGTGAGGGGGTGGAGGTGGATGTTGGCTCAAAGGGCTAGTAGTGACACTCTGAGACATTCTGAATAGTGGCTGTGTTGGTTATCTTCAGCCCATTTTTTCTTTTTCTATCCTGGTCATTTGTTTTCCCAAATCTGGGATAAATGGATTGTCTTGCTTTTCTGGGACCTGTTTGCAAGCCGCGCTCACAACTGAGCTTGCGGGGGAGGGTTCACAGTCTGGGTCATGTTGTGCCTGCGGAAATGGCTGGGTTGGGACCCCTTTGGCCTCCCTGCCTCCTTTCCTCTGCAAAGGTGGTTTCCAGAGTGTCCTCCAGTGGCCATCCTATGCAGAAATCTCTGCCTCCCTGTGGCCGCTGTGGCTTTAAAATGCATTTCCTGATGATCAGATAGGTTGACCGTTTTTTATGTTTGTCAGCCATTTCAGCATTTTCTTTTGGAGACTGCTCAAGTCTCTAGCCTATTTTTCTATTGGGAAGCCTGTCTTTTTCTTAGTGACTTGTAGATACCTTTGCTCATTCTGGATTGCACTTACTCTCCAAATGGCTCTTTTCTGGAACTGAAATCTGTAATTTTGACAGAGTTCAGTTTACCCCAGTTTTACGTTTAGGGGTTTAGAGTCATGTCTAAGAAATCTCTGCCTTCTACACGGTCACAAATATGTTTTCCTATTTTTTCCCTAAAAGCTTCATTGCTTCACCCTTCAGTTAGATCTGTATTTCATCTGAAGTTGGTGCCTTGTGTGTGATGGGAGACAGAAGTCAATAGACACATAGACAGCTGGTCAGCCCTGAGCCATCTGTCGGGAAGACCGTGCGTGCCTGTCCTGCAGTGTCAGCTTTGCTGGAAGATCAAGTGACCGTATATCTGTGGGCTTTTGTCCTGTTTCACCAGTCAATTTGGTTGCCCTCAAGTGTACTGCTTTTTGATTTTCGATTCCACCTTGTACTGTAATGTTTTCTTTTCTACATATTATTTCCCCTACTAGGTTTATTTGAAGCTACTAAATTCCAACAAGATGAGCTCTAAAGATGAGCTCTAAAAGATTACTGACTAATCTTTTCATTTATTTTTTATTAAGTAATTTGTACATCCAACATGGGGTTTGAACTCACGACCCTGAGGCCAAGAGTCACATGCTGATCTTCTGATGACCGCGTTGCGCCCACACACAGTGCCTTCAATGGGTACTTGCTAGTTGTTGTACATCACAAGCACCAAAGTAAACTTGCTTTTAAAAGGAACAGTCTAGGGGCGCTTGGGTGGCTCAGTCGGTTAAGCATCCGACTTTGGCTCAGGTCATGATCTCACGATCGTGGGCTCGAGTCCCACGTCTGGCTCTGTGCTGACAGCCAGCTCAGAGCCTGGAGCCTGTTTCAGATTCTGTGTCTCCCTCTCTCTCTGACCCTCCCCTGCTCATGCTGTCTCCTCTCAGAAATAAATAAAACATTAAAAAAAATTTTTTTTTAAAGGAACAGTCTAGGGGCACCTGGGTGGCTCAGTCAGTTAAGCATCTGACTCTTGATCTTGGCGCAGGGCATGATCTCAGTTTTTGTCAGTTCAAGCCCCACATCAGGCTCTGTGCTGACAGCATGGAGCCTGCTTGGGATTCTCGCTCCTCTCTCTCTGCCTCTCCCCCACTCTGACTGTGCCTCCCCCTCAAAATAAACAAACGGTAAAAATTTTTTAAAATAAAAAAATAGATAAAAGGAACAGTCTACCTGTATTATCATAAATTTGAAAAGATGCTCAGTGTGAAAACTTCCATCTACTCTGGTTATTTTCCTGTCCCATTCCACTGAACCGTAACTGTGGCCGGAGAAAACCACGCATTCTCACGGTCTCTGGGTGTTTTCTCTTTGAATCTGTGGTGGGCCAGTACCTACATGGCCTGGTTGTTAAGGCTGGCAAATCCCGACAGCAGCTCTGAAGCACTAAAAGTTGGGTGTTTTGGTGGGTGGCTGTTGTTCCCCAGGCTTCTTTCTCCCCGTATATTAAACTTCACACCCATGCCCTTCACCTTGTGAGTCGGCAGTGCCCCCAGCCCCCGCTAAAGCAGACAGTTTCCTTCCCTGTTGCATTTGTCTCGGGTTCGGCCGTGTGATGCGCTCTGGCCAGCAGGGTGGTTCCCAAGGATGTGTGACAAGATGCTATAAAGGCGTTTGTGTGCTGTGGCTCCGCCTCGTGCCATCAGAGGCGTGTGCTCCAGCTGCACGCGGCTTCATGGCGCAGAGCTGCACTCGGCTCTGCGCGGCTTCACGGCTGCGCGGCTTCACGGCTGCGCTAACCGAACACCACACGCCGGCGGCCGGACACAACGGACACGTATTTGTCCGCGTCCGGAGGCTGCATGTCCGGGGCCCAGGCGGCCGCAAGGTTGCTCTCTCCTGCCGCTTCCATCCCTCTCCTGGGCTTGCAGCTGGAGCCCCCCGCCCCTCCTCTGTGCCCGCGCCCCTCCCGCCCCTGTGTGCCCACTTCTCCTCCAGCTGTGCGACACTGGCCGCCTTGACGGCCTCCTTTTACCTTTGTCTAAACACGGTCACGGTCTGAGGTCCTGGGGATTGGGACTTACACATAGCAGCTGGGTTGCGGGGGGAGCACAATTCAGGCCATAACAAGACCTAGAGCCGAGTGCAGCCAACCCCAGGAGGTGGCAGAGCCGGGAGCAGGAAACACATGCCGGTGGTTGGGGCCGCTGGCCGGAACGGACGGGCTGCAGCCACGGCGGACGCCTATAAACCTGTCTCGCTTCTTGGTTTTTTGTTTTTTTTTTGCTCTTGAGGTGAAATTCAATCACACAATTAGCCACTTGAAAGCTCATCTTCAGTGATGTTTAGTGAGCTCCCAGCGCTGTTTCCTCCAGCAATGTCATGAGAGGCTGTCACCTGACGAAAATGCCTCCGTCTTTCACTGCTGGAAAACATTTTTCTGGAAATGAGGATCGTGAGCAGGCAGCAGCTAAAAGCATGGGATACAGCGAGAAGCAGAGAGCAGAAGGCCCCTGCTGCCACCGCAGTGTCCTCTCCCCACAAGCATCTCTGCCGCAGCCATGTCCCCACATAAGCCGCGTGTCCTCTGACACCTTTACTCGCGGGCCCATATGTACAGAGTGGAGGGCATGCGCTGGCCCTGCTCTGGAGTCTGGGGGCTCCGTAGTGAAACAGCAAAACAGAGGCAAAAAAAAAAAAAAAAAAATCCCTGTCTTCACGGAGCATGAATTCTAAAGGCAAATCAGATCGACTAAGCAAGTAAATAAATGGCACGTTCAGTAGTCTAATGACGCGTGAAGGAGGCGTGCCCTGGGCGGAGGAATAGCAGGTGCATGGGCTGTGAGCAGAAGCTACTTCTGTCCCTTCTGGGTCACAGCCAGGCCTGCGGCGGAGCAGGGGGAAGCGGGAGATGACAGGAGACTGGGAGGGCTTTGCGCATCCTCGTCCTTGTGAAGCCGGGCTCCCGCTTGGAGGGGAGGGGCTGGGGCAGGACCAGCCTTGCCACCTCCCGAGCAGCGGATGCCAGCGCCTGCAGGCCCGGCAGGCGCAGACTGTAGCTGGGAATGTGGAAGTCATCAGCGCGCCCATGCATTTCAACCCCAAAGAGCAAGCGAGGTTGCCTGTGGGGGAGTGTCAGCTGAGCAGCGGCGCCAGGATGTTTAGAGGTGGGCAGATGAGGGGGAGTCAGCAAAAAAGAAGGAACGATGATCTGAAAAGCCCGAGAGGAGACAGCACCTCAAGGACAGGAGGGCACATGTGTGTGATGCCTGACATTTGTCCCATTTACCTCCCAGCTGGTGCTGATCCCTCCTCTTCAGGTGGAAAAGTGACAATGGTCAGGAATTTAAAACTTCTTCTCTGGAAGAATTTCATCTTGAAGGTGGGTAAGGCGGGCTGTGAAGCCGTGGGCATGTCTGGGGAGGGGGCGGATACTGAATGTGATGTTACGCTGGCACCTAATAACTGTTGAAAGAAAAAAAATCAACAACTGTACTTGAAGCGGGGCTCCTTCCTGCACATAAGCCAGGTTCCCACTGGGATTCTGCAAACCATCATCCCTGAAGGTGGCATCACCGTTCCTGGCTTCCTGCCGCTGATGGCATGGAAAAGTCTGGAAGGAGAAGCCGTTTGGTTCATTCTCTATTTCTTTTCTTTTTCATGGGCTGTGCAGGGAGGCTGGGGGGTGGGAGAGAACGAAAGGGCTTCTTAATGGAAGAAACTTGGCCATGTGGTGACTTAACAACTTGCGTTCCGCTGTGGATTAACATGGCGCTTTCCTTTCCGTTTTAGAAGCGGAAGACTCTGGTAACAGTGCTTGAAATCCTGATGCCGCTACTCTTCTCCACTATCATCATGTATCTGCGTCTTAACAGTCTCCCCAAGCAAATGCCTCCTGTCACCTACCTGGCCATCGACATCAGCATACTGCCAGACTTCTTCTATTTTCCCATTCACACCAGATACCAACTGGTTTATGTCTCTTCCAAAAGCGCAACGTTGAAGGCTATCACTGAAGCGGTAGGGAAATCCTTTGACGTTGAGTTTGAAGGTGAGACACAAAGATGGGGTAAGGACAGGGAGGGCAGGCATTTTTATAGAGTCTGACGCTTTTTCCTGAGGGTACCTATAATGTGATTCCAAACCTGGGGTCTGCAAGTCCTAAAGAGTCTGCCGACATGACAGCTGGGGGAAAGCCGTCCACAAGGTCTTCTCATCGCTGAAACCACAGTCTGGCGACTTGGGAGATTCTGAACTAGCCATCTACCTGGTCTCTCTTCTCGTTTTAATCTCTTCTAAGCCGGTCTCTGCGTGGAGCCAGGAAGGTCTCCTGAAGGTCAGAAAGGTCTGGCCAGCCTGGTGCCTCGGCCCCTCCGGTGGCTTCCACCACACACCACACACACCACACCAGGAGTCAAGCAGGCCCTTCTCCAGGGTCTGGCCCTGCCCGCCCCCTCCAGGCTGCCCCTCGCCTCCCGTGGGCCGTGCCTTTCTATCTTTTAGGGACACTGGGCAGAGCTGCCAGCGGACTTTATCTAGATTTCCCGGCTGTGCCTTGGTCTCTCCCTGAGCACCGCCGGCTATGGTCGGAGCACTCTGATACCTGGTCCACCACACGGCCACTTTCGGCTTTCCGTGCTCCGCCCGCCGTTCTGTGCTGGACTCCACTTCCCTGAGGGCAGAGGGCCGTGTCTCTTTCCTCTGTCACTGGGGCTCCTTCATGCCCGGCACACACTGGCTGCTCAAGCATATTTACTGAATGAATTAATGCAGTTAGGTAGATACAGTTTTTCAAGACGCGGAGTCCACAAAATGTGGAGTCATGTTCCAAACTTACCTTGATTGTAATAGATGCTTTCATAAAGGTGTTCTAATAATACAGAAGGTACCAAGTGAAAAGAAAGGGCTCTCCTCTCCCAGCTCTGAATGCCACTCAATGGAGACAATTCTTTTAAAGGCCCTCAGCGGCAACACACGTGGGGGGGGGGGGCGGGCACTGTTTTGGGGCTTTGCGCTTGCCTGGCACCCTAAAATATCATTCTGATTCTACAAACACAGAAGCAAAACACAACAGAGAAAGCTCCTCTTGGAAGGCTGGAGGTGAGAGGGCAGTAAAGCCTGACGGTGAAGGACAAGACTTGCCGGGTGGGATGGCGGAGGCCTTGGGACTCGGGGGACAGGTGGGGGCCGTGGCGGGGCTGGGAGTGGGGGGCGGCTGTCGTGGGCAAGGCTGAAGGAAGCGGGGTCTGGGGTGGGGAGAGTGGTCCGAGCGAGGCTGGAGTGTCTGCAGGAGCCTCGCCCGAGTCCTGGGTTTTCCTCCAAACGCGCAAGGGGTTCGAAGAAAAGTGAGCTGGCGCGATTTGTCTCTGTCTCGGGCTGCTCTCTGGGACGCACAGTGGGACAGAGATGACCCTAGAGCCTTGGGCTCCTGTCTGTGGGCAGCCCTCCGGTTCCCTAAACATTCGGGCTTTGCATCCAGGTTGGATGCCTACCTCACTGCCTGGGACCCCTCGGTCGCCTCCACCGAGAAGAAAGAATTTCTTGTCCATCTTTTTTTAAGATCCTACCTTGGGCAGTGTCTCCCTCCTTGTGTTGGCTGTCTTGAGGGGTATTTCTGTTTCATTACCTCTGACTCACTTCTTACCTTGTCGCCCTCTGTACTCGGTCCTTTGCGTTGCCGGATCCAGGGCTTTCCTTCCAGGCAACCCCCTGCGCGTGCGTGCTATGCCAGGGATGCCTCTGCCCTGCGCCCGCAGGAGCCTCTGGGGCTGAGTCTGGCTGCTCAGAAACCCGCTGCTTCCGCCCCGACCGCTTCCACCCCCGCCCTCCTCTCTGTGCACCCTGCGATCCCCACGGCTCTGTGCCAGGCGTTCACTCTCTCTCTCTCTCTCTCTCTCTCTCTCTCTCTCTCCCCCCACAACTGCACGTGAAATACTAATAAGGTTTAGAGTGAAAAGTTAAGTTCGACACAACTGCACGTGAAATACTATAAGGTTTAGAGTGAAAAGTTAAGTTCGCATCCCAAATGCCACTTTGCAGAAGAATTCTTTGCTAACAGTTTGGAATGTGTTTTTTCTAGAATTTAGAATTTTTTTTTAATGTTTTATTTATTTCTAGGAGAGAGAGAGAGACAGCGTGAGCAGGGGAGGGTCAGAGAGAGAGGGAGTCACAGACTCTGAAACAGGCTCCAGGCTCTGAGCTGGCTGTCAGCACAGAGCCCGANCAGACTCTGAAACAGGCTCCAGGCTCTGAGCTGGCTGTCAGCACAGAGCCCGACGCGGGGCTCGAACCCACGAACCGCGAGATCATGACCTAAGCAAAAGTCAGACGCTTAACCAACTAAGCCACCCAGGCACCCCTAGAATTTAGAAATTAAAAAAAAGAAAATCACACAAAACAAACCTTAAAACTTAAAAGACTTAGAACGATGAATACAAGAATTGTTTACATTGACATTTTCAGATCACATAATAGGATAAGAAATAAAAATTAGATTTTGCCCTTCGGGCCATTCCCCTAAGCAAATCCTCCACCCTGGAAGGAAGGACAGTGGTTTGAGGATCCCTCCAAACCATGAGAGACAGCGTTCTTCCCTTTAGGTAATCCGCACAGCCCGCTTCTTCCCTGGGGGGCTGAACCCCTCTCCTGCCCTCAGCCCTTGATGCATCCTCCTTGGACTCAGGACCGCTCCTGTGTCGACAGGAAACAGTCTGCACTTGGCGGTCCCCTTGCTACCATGACTTGTCCAGGGATGACCCCTAACTCAGCGAGAGCCAAGGAAACACTGGGGTATTTTCTGGCAATTTCTGGGAAAGAGATTACTGCTGTTTGTTTCTGCTAATAGGGCAGACTGGGTTATGGGGGCCTATGGAAAAACATACGCTGCATAAATATTAAAACTACATTCCTGAAAGCATTTAAGAACCAAACTGATAGTAAGAAACTATCTAAACCAAAAAAAAAAATAATAATAATAATCTACGGTAAAATATTTTATTTCTTGACCCAAGAGGTAATGACTTGGCTGTGAACTTTATAACTGTGCATTAGAGTGAACGTTTGTGTTTTGTACACCTTCCGGTATGTGTGCTATTCTTCTCAATTTGGCCAAATGTGTGTGTATGTGTGTGTTTAAAAAGAAACCTAAATATGGCTAAGGAAACAAACTATATAGAGGAAAATACACTCATAATCCTATCCCCCAGATATGTCATGATGCAGACTTACCCAGCCAATCTGAAAAAAGAAGAGGACCAAACAGAACTAGAAATGAAAATAAAATAATCAAAACGTAAAACTCAGCTGCAGCTAAAAAGTAGTGATCCCCACCCCCACCCCCCACCCCCCCATGCTGAGGACGCCAGGAGAGTGTTGCTGAGCAGGGAAGAGAAAGGATTTATGTCTTTATCACTCTATCACACAGTTGGAGGGCCGCCTGAGGGGCTCAGTCGGCTAAGCATCCGACTTCGGCTCAAGTCGTGATCTCACAGTTTGTGGGTTCGAGCCCCACGTCAGGCTCATTGCTGACAGCTCAGAGCCTGGAGCCTCCTTCAGATTCTGTGTCTCCCTCTCTCTGCCTATCCCCCCATTCACGCTGTTTCTCTCTGTCTCAATAGTAAATAAACATAAAAAAGAAATCTATCACGCAGTTGCAGATCTGGATTCAGTCTCAAATCTTATGGACCAAGTGGTTCATTTTGGCTTTTTCTTTTTTTCCAAGAATGGGTTTTGTTCTGATGGAAAGTTAAAGTTCAGTCTCATCAACGAGCCTTTCAACACTTGTTTTTAACCTTCTTTTGGATGGCGAACAGCTTTTACTTGAAGGACGATTTACCCCACGACTGAACACCTTGAGGGAGGCCAAGGGCTGCCCACCCTGACCGACGGCCCGCCAGTGCCTCCAGCCCTGGGAGGGGCCCTGATTCCGAGGCGGGCGTGACTCTGCGCTCCTTACAGGGCCCTGTGTGCGGGTTTCCAGGCCGCTTTCTACACAGCCTCTCCCTCTTTGGAATTCTGCCCCGCACTCTCTGCCACTTCAGACCTTTCTGGTACCCTCTGTCCACTCCGTCCACTCGGCCATGCGTCTGTGCTCTGCTTGGGGCTCCCTTCCCCGTGCTGAGGTCCGAAATGTGCCTCAGATAGAAAACAGGCATGATGGCAGTCGCCTCGTGTGTTTCTCTTTCTTCAAGTCTCATGATGCTGTGCTACTTACTGCCCATTGTCTGAAAAACCAGGTTCTCTCTCTCTTTTCTCTCTCTCTCTTTATTTTTTTAGGTCCAGTTTTTTGTTATTTATGGTGGAAGGGTAAATCCTGTCCCTGTTACTCCATCGTGGCCAGAAGCATACGTCAAAGCCTTTTTTTCCTTAAACATGCAAATGAAATTGTCTTACAGGGACAGTCATGGTGGGAGAGCAGGGCCCTGCGTAGGGGAAGGGCTCAGCACCACATAACCCCCAGCGCCATAGGAGATTTTTACCACGAGTCCAGTTCATTAAAACAAAACAAAACAAAACAAAAAAAAACCTCTCCATATTCTCAGAGACATTTGAGAAAATGCTGCCACTCCAGAAGCAAATCGGACCCCTGCGACACGGAGATGGCCGAAGAAACAGCAAGAAGACTTGCAAATTAAGATCAGCGAGGTCACTTCCAGGGAAACAACAGAATGGACACGTGTCACAGCCGGGAGTTCGGGTGGGAGACAAGGCCAGCGAGTTGTGTGACGGTGTCAAGCAAAAGGGTGAAGAAACAGGAAGTGAGAGTGACCAGTCCCGTCCACCCAGGAGGGTTTCTGGAAGGAAGCAATGGACACACAGAAGGGAGGGGACAAAGCACTTCAGAAAAGGTTCCCGCAAGAGTGGCTATGTGTGCGAGGTGAGCAGGCTCACTGCTTCCCAGGAGGACAGAAGAGAGGGACAGCCGTGGACATGCACTAGTGACTTCTCCAGCCCAGAGATAAAGGAGCAGCCAATGAGCTCTCAGAGAAGACACCTGGCTGCCGGGAGGAGGCGGAGGGATGCGGTGACCCCTTCTACATTCTGAGGAAGAGTTACTTTTGAGGAGGACCCTGGATGACAGCCTTCCCACACACAAGGGCTGCGGACCGGAGCAATTATTTTTCTCATCAGAGCAGCTACACTTGACTGTGATTTTGTCTCCCTCTTTTGGTTGTCATAGCCATGCAGACCAGCTACGGACGGCTCCCCATCAGCACGGCCAAGGGCGAGTTCCACCTCCTGTGGCCCTCAGTGCTGCCCTGCGGGGGAGCCTGGGACGAGGGATGGCGGGCGTTCAGATCACTGTCGCCGCCTCACGTGCCTCCCAGCCAGCTGTGCGCTCCTGTGTTCGCAGATGACGGAGGGAGGCTTGTGGCCCCTGCTGCACCGGCTCAGGGAGGGCGGGGATGGGCAGGCAGTGTCGCTCGCTCACTGGACTTGTCTCTCCGCAGTCCTCGGCTATTCTTCAGTGGCTTTGTTTGAAAATTACATACTCGAGGATTCCAAAGCCTTCTTTGTGTTGGCTGGACTTGTCTTCGATCACGCCTTCAATGACAGCAAGCAACCCCTGCCGCTGAAGGTAAGGGACATCCCATCCCGGAACGGCCTCACCATGTTTCCCAGCCTCGGACTTGAGCCCATTAGGGAGTCCTGGCACCCCAGCTGCCCCTCTTCCCTGTGTCCGCTCTGCCACCTGGCTGCCGTCTTAATTTCCAGAGGAGGTAAGAAAATGCTCCTGGGTTCACTGCCTCCAACCTGGCCCCGGGGGCACCTCCTAGCGTCCAGATTCCTCCCCAGAGAACCCTGCCCAGGGGAACCTCAAGCCGAAAGGAGGGGACCACGTATTTCAGTATCTTGATGACAGACTGGATCCGGGCGTGGCAACCTCTAGCTCTCTCACCGTGGGAAGGGTGCTGACGTTTCCGGGCCTCAGTTTCCCTACTGGTGTAGCAGGAGTGCTAGCAGTTCCTGACTCAGAGCGGTTGTGGGCATCAAATGAGTTTGTGTCCAGAACAGAGCCAGGAACAGAGGCATTTTCCAGAAGGACCGGCTGTGGTTGTCAGCAGACCACCTCACTAACCGCATGGGCTCCAATATGGTGGGTCTGCCTGAGGAAAAGACAGTGGCTCCCCTTGGCGTCGGGGAAGCCGCTCGTGTGCAGCTGTGGTGTTGCACTGTGCAGTCTAATAATTAATGGCCTGAACTAGTGAGGGGGTGTTGGGAACTGGAGACAGACATGCTAACAATCAGAAACACTTTCTGAGCACTGACGCGCGCTGGCACCCCCCAGGGATCATCCGGCTTGGTCCTACAATGCGTCTGGGGCAAGTGCTGTTGATCTCGTCTGCGTTGTACTGATGAGGAAACTGAGGCAAGAAGGTCCAGTCAACCTGCCCGAACTGCCATTCAGCGGGAGGTCTGGGGTTTGGGTCCGGGTGTCCTGGGTCCAGGGTCGGCGCTGGGAACCACCTTCCTGAAGGGGGCTCTCCCGGGCACAGAGTGCTCCTCGCAGGGGAGGGAGGGGCGGCCTTCCCTCCAGTCACAGCTGGCAGCGGGCACGCGTCCTAGTTGGGTGTGGGGACCCCATGACCAAGGTCATCCTCTTTATCCCCCGAAGGTTAAGTACCACCTGCGCTTCAGCTACACCCATAGGAACTTCTTAGTCGCGAAGCTGACGTCACGTGATACCCTGCATGGCTGGGGCACTTCCTTCCTGTACCCTCCCAACCCAAGCCAAGAGCCCCGGGCCTTTGGGCATTCCGACGGTGGACCCCCTGGTGAGGAAGCCCCGTGTCTGGTCCTGCCCACCCTCGCGCCTCCAGCTGCTGTCTGAACCCTTGCTAACCTAACATTTCAGAAGAGGCTGAAGGAGTAACATTAGAAACGTGTCACTGGGTAAAATGCTTTCATTCTAGAGGAAGCTGAAGAACATTAAGGGTGTGACTCTGAGCTGCTTGAGGGAGGAACGAGGCATTTTACAGGAACAAGGAGGGCACGTCCCTTCTTTGTGTTTCTGCGTGTACTCACGTTTGCTCATTTACCGGTCTGGTCGCCTGTCAGCTGTCTCAGGCGAGGGGAGAAGCCGTGGGGCCGCTCGGAGGCCCGGTCTCCATGTCACTGTAGAGCTGGCAGCCCCCTCTTTGTGTGGGATTCAGGGAGCAGACTGGAGGGAGCGGACAGCCCTTGGGAAATTGAGTGGACAGTGTGTACCTCATAGGAGGATGGCCGCACAACTGACTTGAACCCTGGGCCTGCAAGCCCAGCCAGCAGGAAAGTGAACCCAAGGGCTTATCTAAGTTGAATGTTATTCTAGAAAAGACGTCAACAGTTCTGCAGTGGAAACGCTCCTATGTGCTGTGAAGCTTCCATGACAGCTCCCAAAATTTTGTTATCAGCGATTTCTTCCTCCCTTTTTCTTTTTCTTTTTTAATGTCTTATTTATTTCTGAGAGAGAGAGAGAGACAGCATGAGCAGGGGAGGGACAGAGAGAGAGGGAGACACAGAATCTGAAACAGGCTCCAGGCTCTGAGCTGTCAGCACAGAGCCCGACATGGGGCTCGAACCCACAAACCGTGAGATCATGACCTGAGCCGAAGTCGGACGCTTAACCGACTGAGCCACCCAGGCGTCCCATCTTCCTCCCTTTTTCAAGCTGACAGATCCAGGGGTCTGTGTAGGTCAAGGCCATTGGGAGACTGTGGTCACCACCTCTTTACTGCTGGGTGCTGCACGCTGTCTCAGCCCATGTGGAGGGCCCGTAACCCCCACTGGGTGGTAGGGCCTGTAACCCTTACAAGATCCCCAAACGAGGGTTCCCTACCCTCCAACCTATTTTTCCCAAAAGCTGAGCTTCACCCTCTGACTGCACTGTATCGAAATAAGGGTTGCATATGATAAAGTTTGGCTTTGAGGCTTGGCAGCCAAATTCAATGACCGTAACCCTTGGACCACAGCAGTGACAGCTCAGACACAGGTCACAGTAGGTGGGGGGGGAGGGGGTCTCCCAAGTGCTTTGAATTGAACCATTTCACATGTTCTGGATGATCAAAAGCGCAAAACAGGCACCCTTCCTCTGAAGCCCGAGCACCTAGGGGAGAGGATGCGGCCCCACTGTGCAAGAACTCTATACTGGACATCCTTTGTTTTGTGTGCTCAGGATGCCTTTCCCTGTTTTCTGCTCCTCCTTCCCCATGGTGGTGTGCGGACTCCAGGGAGCCCGGCCCACTCCCGACTGATCGTCTTCATGAATGGTTAGCCACGACCTGCCTGACTCAGTAGGTCTTCTGCACCTCCAGTCTTTCCAGGTCTCTGATGCTTGGATGTCCACTGTTCTCTCACGCAGGATACAGCAGCGAAGGCTTCCTAGCCATCCAGCACGCGCTGGACAAAGCCATCATGCAGCACCATGCCCACAATGCGACAACCGAGATGTTTAAGGGCCTCAGCGTGCTTGTGAAGAGGTTTCCCCACAGAGCCCACATCCAGGACCGGTTCTTGGTGATCCTTCAGAACGAGTTCCCGCTTCTGCTCATGCTCAGCTTCATCTGCATCGAGCTCGTCATCATCAATTCCATTGCCCTGGAGAAGGAGAAAAAACTGAAGGTAACCCCACGGGCACGGGGTGCGAGCCTCTCCCGGGGCGGGGGACGCAAGGAAGCACTGGTGAAAAATGGGCCAGGTGGGGGTGAGGCCACGGCAGGGAAGAGGCTGCATGGGTGTTAGAGCGACCTTCCTCTGAAGGATGGACGGTGGATGTTGGACAGTGGTTCATCATTGGACCTGCTTGCAATGAAGGCGATGCCGTCTGCCGTGACCACGTGAGTCCTTGCTTTCAGACTTGCCCTGGCGGCTGTTCGGAAGATGCCTGTGGACCGACTCCCTGATGAACGCAGGGGAGAGGATGTCCACCCAGATGAGTCGCTCTCTCCTTGCTGCAGCCGGGAGCCCCACCCCAACACAGGCTGCCCCCGGGGAATCTCTGCCTGCCTGCTCTCTTCCATCACCTTCTGCTCTCCGTAGAGGCAGTCTGCCTTCTTGCTTTAATTTTCTTCTCCTTTGATTAGTTCTTAGGACTGTATATAGAAATGGCCTGCCGGCGGCTCCCGAAACCTTGCGTGGCCTCAGTGACCATGCACGGTTTGCTCCACTGTCTGAGCAAGGCCACCCGCGAGGTCATGGTGGGCGTGTGGTGCTGGCAGTGGTGAGACACCCACTCCTCTGCCTTCTCTAGGAGTATATGTGCATGATTGGAATGGACAACTGGCAACACTGGGCTGCCTGGTTCATCATGTTCTTCGTCTCGGCCCTCGTCGCTGTTTCTTTCATGACTGTCCTGTTCTGCACACAGGTACGCGGCTGGCCCCTCTGCACACGCTAAGCGGTAGTGCCGTGGGAAGGAAGGTGGCTGCGGGGAGGTGGTGGGGCTCACACGTGACAGAAGGTGAGAGCACAGCCAGGGACGCGTACCTGGGGCAACCTCAGGCAGCATTTACGGAAGCTTTGCTGGGACCGGGCACCGAAGCTGCACCATCGGGGAGAGCCTTGTACGCCTCCCATTCCTGGGGCGTCCAGTCCTGCACCTGGGTGTGGTTAATTTCATTAGGAAGCTGGGATTCCTTTACTAATTCAACTACTTTATAAACTTGAAAACATAACAAATTTTACACTCCGCAAATAGTCCAAAACAGCTGTTGTAAAAGATGGAGAACATTCTCTTAGGCCCATCCTACCTTGTTACATTTTCCTTCGTGCTGCCATCGAGGCCCAGCGTTCCAATATGCTTTCTTGCATCTGATGGCTAAATTATTGTCTACCACGTGGATAAATGAAGATTTAGCTTCTAAATTACCAAAATTGGGGTGCTTTGGATAAAGGAAGGCAAGAAACCCCAGACCACATGGCAAAATCCACAAAACAAAGAAAGCGGCCAGAAAGTATTAAAAAGAGGAGATGTAAGGTGTCAAAAGGAAACTATAGTTATTGTAAGAGTGACAATGACAAATGAGATAAACTCTCTTATTAAAGCAAAAGAGATTCACATCGGGCCAAAAACGGAATTTGGACTTATGCTTTCTTTGAAAAAGATACATGTACAGAGCATAATTTATAAATAGTAGTGGATACTGGGTCAAAGTTCTGCCTTTTAAAAAATCTAGATATGTTGTTTCATTTAGAATAATCTTGTGGTTTCAAGCAAAGTTTCTGCATTGTTTTGGGACCCCCAGGTGGCTCAGTCGGTTGAGCATCAGACTCTCGATTTCCGCTCAGGTCATGATCCCAGGGTTGAGGGATCAAGCCCTAACTACTTAACATTTGCTCTCTCTCTCTCTCTCTCAATCTCTTTCTCCCTCCTCTGCCACTCTCCCCCACTCGTGTTCTTCCTCTCTAAAATAAAAAATAAAATAAATACATTTTAAAAATAAGTTAAATAAATAAATAAAAGTTCTGCATTGTTTTGAGGGCACTTTATGCCTCTCCTCATTCTTTCCATATAAAAACACTGTGTGTCTGTGACTACTCCTTAGGTGAACAGCGTGGCCGTGTTCAGGAACAGCGACCCTAGCTTGATCTTTGTTTTTCTACTGTGTTTTGCCACTGCCACAATTTTCTTTGCGTTCATGATCAGCACATTCTTCCAAAAAGGTGAGTCGTGGTACAATTGCCTGTCAAGGAGTGTGGTTATGACTTCTCTTTTCTGGTAGCATTGCCGTTCAAGTTACCTACAGCATTAATTAATATTCCTCCAAAGCCAAGTGTTCACCTCTATCGTTACTTTAGCAATAGAGTAATTCCATTCCCCATTAAAGGCTTAGGGAATTCTCTTTATATATGTATGTGTTTATGCTTCATTTGGCTTCTAAATGTCACTTCAAATGGATGCAAATGGTAAGTCCCAATGTGGAAGGAAATGAGGTGTAAGACATCCAGTGCAGACAGTTTTCCAGGTCTTGATTGTGAAGTTGGGCACAGCGGTAGTGTAGCTTCTGAGACACCATAGTAAGACAGGAAGTCCTGGGACTTTGGTCCTGTCAGAGGGGTGTTACCTCTGAAACTATTGGTAGAATCGATGAACTGCTAGACACGAAAATAACAGGAAGTGGGGTCAAGGTCGGAGTGCAGGAAAACGGAATCCTGATTCAAGCAGAGAGGTAGAGGTAAAAACATGAATGGAGGATGGGTCCAGCAGTTGGTAACAAAAGAAAAAAAAGGCTTAAAAGAATTTGGGGGAAAATTAAAATGTGGTATAAATGAAGCCAGTCTATTTATTGTTTACATTGGTGAATATTTTACGTCAAATATCATGTTCTAATATGTGGGCCCTGGCAAGTGTTGATTCTGCCAAGATGGGGGTGGGTTCTTCGGGAGGTTGACTGGGCTTGTACACTATCTTCTGATTTAAACTCTATACCTAGTTTCCCACTATCCCTCAATAGCCCAAGGGCAAGCATGGTGTGGTCAAGGAAGAGAGTTATGTGGGTACTTTAGAGCATGAGTATCAAAAGATGCTCAAAAGCTAAGGCTAATGTGGTATGGGAGGTTGAAACCAAAAAACCTGAGCTTGCATTCACACATGAGAAATAAGCAGAGTGCTGAAAATAAAAGACAAAACCAATGAGATCAGAAACACAGAAAGAGTCCCAAGTGAAAGCAAATATATACTACACAACTCAGAGCTTATAATCAATTGATTTTTGATGAAAGGGCCAAGACTATTCGACAGGCAAGAAATCAGGAACAGTCTTTTCAACAGAGGGTGCTGGAAAGGCTGGATATCCGCATGCAAAAGAGTGAAGTTAGACCCTACATCACATCATACAAAAAAATCAACTCAAAGTCGATTATAACCCCAAATGTAAGAGCTAAAACTACAAAACCCTTAAAAGAAAATACAGGCATAAATCTTTGTGATCTTGGTTTAGGCGGTGATTTCTTAGACATAACACCAAAAGCATAAGTCATAAAAAAGAAGATGGATACATTGGACTTCATCAATGTTAAAAACTGTGCTTCAAAGGATACCATCAAGAAAGTGAAAAAACAACCACAGACTGGGAAAAAAAAATCTGCAAGTAATATATATCATGAGACTTGCATCCAGAATAACCAAAATAAACTAAATTAAACTAAACTGCAACTAAAAAATAAAAACACAAATATTCCAAACTCGTTCTACAGGCCAGTGTTGCCTTGATACCAAAGCTGGAAAAGACATCAGGCCAAAAAAACTACAGACTAAAATTCCTTATGAATACAGAGATGGAAAAATCCTCAACAAACACTAGCAAACTAAACCTAGCAGCATATTAGAATGATTACACACTATGCCAAGTGGGATTTATCTCAAGAATGTGAGAATAATTCAACATATGAAAAATAATAACTATAGTACACCATTTGATAAGATAAAGGAAAAAAATAAACACAATATTATTCCCTTTTATTCATCTCAATGGACACTGAAAAAGCATGTGACAAAGCTTAGTACTTTTCATGAGAAAATTTTTTTTAACAAACCAAAATTTAAAGGAAGTATCTCAACCAATAGTGAGCATTTACGAAAACCCCACAGCTAACATCATATTCAATGGTGAACAATTGAAAGTGATCTCCTTAAGATCAGGAACAAGATAAGAATGCCCACACTCCCCTCTGTTATTCAACACTGGACTGGAAGTTTTAGCCAGAGCAATTAAGAAATAAAAATAAATAAAAGGCATGCAATGGGAGAAAAAAGAAGCAAAGTCTCTCTATTCAAAATTACGTGATCTTACATATAGAAAATCCTAAAGAACCCACAAGAAAACTTGGAATCCATCAAATGTGAATCCACAAACGGATTCAGCAAATTTGCAAGATACAAGGTCAACATGCAAAAATCAGTTGTGTTTCTATACACTAGCAATGAACATCCCCAAAAGGAAATCAAGAAAAAAATTCCACTTAAAATACCATCCAAAATAAAATACCCAGGAATAAGTCAGCCCAGAGAGATAAAAGACTTGTTGAAAGAAATCAAAGATGACTTAACTCAGTGGAAAAACATCCCATGTTCATGGACTGGAAGACTTAGTATTGTTAAAATGGCCACATTCCCCCAGATTGATCTACAGATTCTATTCAAATCCTATGAAAATCCCAGATGTCTTTTTCTCAGAAATGGACAAGCTGATGATAAAATTCATATGGAATTGCAAGGGCTCTCAAAAAGCCAAAACAGGGGCGCCTGGGTGGCTTAGTCGGTTAAGCGTCCGACTTTCGCTTAGGTCATGATCTCGCGGTTCGTGGGTTCGAGCCCCGCGTCAGGCTCTGTGCTGATGGCTCAGAGCCTGGAGCCAATTTCAGAGTCTGTGTCTCCCTCTCTCTCTGACCCTCCCCTGCCGATGCTGTCTCTCTCTCTCTCTCCTATAAATAAATAAAAATATTTTTTTAAAAAGCCAAAACAATTTCAAAAAAGAATAACAAAGTTGGAGGACTCACACTTCCTAATTTCAAACTTAATACAAAGCCGTAGGGATCAAAACAGTGTGGTTTTGAGCACAGCATAGATATACAGACTGATGGAATAGAATTGAGTGTCTAGAAATAAGCCTATACATCTATTTCATAGACAATTTATTTTGACAAGGGCACCATGACCATTTAATGGGAAAAGGATAGTTTCTTTAACAAATGGTGCTTGGACAACAGGGTGGACACTTGGACTCCTTCCTCACTTCATTCCTTAGATGGATGAATACTATTCCATCATATGGACAGACCACATTTGGTTATCTGTTCATCTGTTGATGGGCGCTGGGTTAATTCCACCTTTGGCTACTGCAAATAATGCTGTTGTGAACATTTGTGCACAAGTGTCCGAGTCTGCTTTCAGTTCCTTTGGGCATACACCTAGGAGTGCAGATGTGGGATGATGATTCTATTTAACTTTTTGAGGAACTTTTTGAGGAACTAGAAAACTGTGTTCTCCAGAAGATGGAACATTTTACATTTCACAGCAATACATGAGGGTTCCATTTCTTTTTTTTTGAGAAACACCTGTTCAAGTCTTTTGCCCATTTTTCATTTGCATGGTTTGTTCTGTTGGTCCTGAGTTATAGGAGTTATGTATGGATTTTGAATATTAATCTCTTTTCAAATATGATTTGCAAATATTCTCTCCCATTCCATGGATTGTCTTTTTACTATTTTTTTAAAATATTTTTTATTTATTTCTAGGAGAGAGAGAGAGAGACAGCGTGAGCAGGGGAGGGTCAGAGAGAGAGAGAGAGATACAGACTCTGAAATTGGCTCCAGGCTCTGAGCTGGCAGTCAGCACAGAGCCCGACGCGGGGCTCGAACCCACGAACCGCAAGATCATGACCTAAGCGAAAGCCGGACGCTTAACCGACTAAGCCACCCAGGCGCCCCTGTCTTTTTACTATTTTGATAGTGTCTTTTGATGGACAAAAATTTTTAATTTTGTTAAAGTATAATTTATCTATTTTTTTCTTTTGTTGCCTACACTTTTGGCCTTATACTAAGAAATCAGCGCCAAACCCAAGGTTATGGAGGTATCTCCCAAGGTTTCTTCTAAGAGTTTTATAGTTTTAACTCTTAAGTTTAGAACGCTGATCCATTTTGAGGTAATTTTTGCAAATGGTCTATGGTCAGGGTCCAACTTCATTCTTTTGCATGTAGATATCCAGTTTTCCCAGCACCATTTGTTGAAAAGCTATTCCTTACCCCCATTGAACAGTTTTAGCACCACTGTTAAAAATGAATTTATCGTATATGTAAGGGTTTGCTTCCAGGCTTTCTGTTATATTCTTTTTTTTTTTTTTTTTTAATAGTTCACTATCAAGTTGGTTTACATATAACACCCAGTGCTTTACTGGTCTAGACTTTGAGAGGGAATGATGTTCATTCTTCTTTAAATGTTTGGTAGAATTCACAGGTGAAGTCATTATGGTCCTGGGATTTTCTTTGTTGGAACAGAATGCAAGGGGCCTACGAGGCACCATCTAGTTTAGTAACATACACATCACCTGAGTCCCAAAATAAGAAAGAGAGCAGGGTAAAGGCAGAAAAAAATATTTAAAGAAATAAGGACTGAAAATAACCCCAATTTGATGAAAGACATGAATCTACAAACCCAAGAATCTCAGTGAACTCCAAGCAGGATAAACTCAAAAAGAGATCCACACCAAGAGTCATTCAAATTGTCAAAACTCGAAGTTAAAAAGAGCACTTTTTAAAACAGCAAGAGGCTCCTCGTGTACAAGTGATCCTCAGTAATATCAGTAGCTGATTTCTCTTCAGAAACTACAGAGTCCAGAAGTTAGTAAGAAGACATTTTAAATCTTGAGTGGGGAAAATTTCAACCAAGAAATCTATATATGGCAAAACTATCCCTTGAGAATAAAGGTGAAATTGAGACATTTTCAGACAAGCAGAAGCAGAGAGCATCCGTTATTACCAGTGGACTTGCCCTACAAGAAATGACAAAGGGAGTTTTTGGGGAAGAAATGAAAAGCCACCAGACAGCAACGTGAAGCCATAAGAAGAAATACAGACCACTGACTGGTAAAGACAACTTAAGCCATCATTATTGCTGGCTTCTGGTTTGTAAATCCTCTTTTCTCTCCCATGTGATTTATAAGGCAAATGCATGAAACTATTCATACATCTGCATTCATGGGCACTCAGCATATGAAGATATGATCTGTCACAATAACAGTTTAAAAGGGGGTGGGACAGAGATGTCTGTGAGCAGAGAGTATGCTACTGAAGGTAAGCGGTGTTATTTAAACTTGGTTATTGTAAGTGTAAGGTTATTTATTATATAGTTTTGACTAAACCATGCGCGTTACTTTCCTGTTGCTGATGTAACAGCCTACTGCATACTGAGTGGCTAAAAATAGCATGTATTCATCATCTTACAGCCAAGTCTGAAGTGCATTTCTCTGGGCTGACATCAAGACGTCCCCAGGGAAGTGTTCTTTCTGGAGACACGAGGGGAGAATGAGAACCCTTCCCTATGTCTGCATTTGGGGGCTCACGGCTCCTCCTCAGTCTTGGGCGCTCTCTCTCTTTCTGAATTCTGCTCCTGTCACCTCCCTCACTCTAGCACCCCTACCTCCCTCTCCTGAGGGCCCTTGCAGTTACCTTGGGCCCCCAGATAATCCAGAATAATCTTACCTCAAGATTCTCAACCACCTCCACAAAGTCCCTGGGCTCTGTAAAGTCACGCCCTCCTGTCAGGGTTTCAGGGGTGAGGGTTGGACATCCCTGGGAAGCCTTTATTCTGCCACCGCAGCACATAAACAACTGGAAAAATATTGAAGTGAGAAAGGAAATGATTGAAGCAATTTCTAAAAACTGAAAACCAACAGAAATCAATGTTTTCAACCTGGGGGGCTTGAAAATGATCACAAAGAAAGGAATCACTTCAAATGCTTTTAAAACATAGTGTTTTAGGGATGCCTGGGCGGCTCAGTCGGTTAAGTATCTGACTTCAGCTCACATTATGACCACGGTTTGTGGTTTCGAGCCCTGTGTCGGTCACACCAAGCTCCCTGCCTACCCTGCAGCTGTGAGGACAGCTCAGAGCCCGGAGCCTGCTTCGGATTCTGTGACCCTCTCTCTCTGACCCTCCCCCACTGGCACCCTGTCTCTCTCTCAAAAATAAATAAACATTAAATTTTTTTTTAAAAGAATAATGCTTGCAGTGAGTTGAAATGCATAAAATGTAAAAACCGTCAAGCACGTAAAAATCTGTGATATATAACGGTGCCCCAGGAAATGCCTCACCGGCAACCCTGAAGGTGCCTAGGGCTGCCGTCCATCACACCCTGCTACCACCACAGGCGGGAAGGCACATCCTCGCTCCTGGCTGCTGCCTCCAGATCTCGCCTCCTCCCCGGCTGCTCTGCCCCCTTGAGGAGGAGGTTGTCATCTGAACAAACCACACTCTACCTCTTACCAAAGCCTCTGCTGCCCCCGTCCCTGTTGCATTCACGCTTGGTGGGCCTGCCTCTCTCCTCTCAGACCCTGGCTTGCTCTCCCACTGACCCTGCCCCACCCCGCATCGGTGCTCCCAGGCTCCCACGGGCGCCCCCGAAACCTCAGCCAACAACTGTGTGGTGGCCAGAACCTCAGCCTCAAACACCCCACTCTTGACTCCCCTATCTCTCTGTTTAGCTCCTCCCCTCTTGCAACCACCTCCCCCATCGAGGGTAGGTAGTTCTTTGACCCCCATCAAGATGCCTGACCCATTGGCTCTAGCGTTTTTCCACTATCCATCACCCCATCGTGTGCCTCGCCCAGCTCGGAGCCCATGGCCCATCCCTACTTTGACTCCTCTGACTTCTGCCCATCAGGTCTTTGTTGAACTTGCGTTGCAGATCCTCAGCCCTGGTCACACCAAGCTCCCTGCCTACCCTGCAGCAGAACCTGACTGGAGAAACTCTCTCCCTTGTGTGGACCAGTCTCTTTATCTAGTTTACAGATCCTCTGGCCACCGCTCTGCAGTCTACCCACATGCCTTTGTCAGTCTGTCCCACACCTCTCTGGGACAGCAATTTCCAACCTTTTCCCCACTCCCTCGTGGACACAGCCTTTCTCCCTTCCTCACTGAGGTTGGAAGTTCTTGCTCTGGCCTCAGAGGGCTGTTTTTGCATCCTCGTGTGGACCCCCACCTAGACTGCGAGCACTTCCCTTTCTGTGAAACTGGAAAATAACAGTATTTAACAACTTAGTTATGAGGATTACGTGGGGTATTGCATGTCAAACACTGAGAACAATACTCGGTGTGTAGTAAGAGCTTGGTAGATGCTAGCAATTATTAACACCGCTTACAAAAGAAGAAACTGAGTCAAGTTATACAAGATCCAAGGTCAGCCAGGTTCGGTGAGAGGCCGACTGCCACCTCAGTGGGGGGCTCTTCCTATTCCCCATGCAATTTTTACGAATGGCTCCCTGTTCTCTCAACTTCCTGGAAGTCAAATGTCCACATTCAACCTGAGCGCCTCTCCCGCACTCCAGCTGGATTGGCCTTATCTCCCAATCTGGAGCCACCACGCCAAGAATCTGGAAAACCTTGAGTCCTTGATCCATAATTCACTAGCTCCATGACACGGAGCAAATTTATTCCACGTGGCCAAACCTCAGTTTCCTCCCTTGTAAAACAGGGAGGGCCCAGAGGTTACAGAAGAGGCTGGAGAGAATGTGCTGGTCTTGGTGCTACGTAATGTCCCACTGCCTGGGAGAGGAGGTCTGTACCGTGGGCGATGGTGCCAGTGCGATATTTGTGCCTTTATGGACAGATCGATTCATAGTTTTAAGTGCCACAGATGCCCTTGGTCTTTCAATAACGAAAGTGCAAAATTCCTCAAAAGACCGCTTCCCTAGCCCGAGCCCCCCCGCAGATCCCCACCCTCACCCCGCCCCAAACCGTGGTGGGAAGGGGCTTGTGTTGCACTCAGTGCATCACTGACGAAACCCTTCTCCCCTTCTCGTTGCTTCCCACAGCCCACACAGCGACTGCCGCGGGAGGCATCATCTTCTTCCTCACCTACCTCCCGTACCTGTACCTCACTGTCACCTACTCCCAGAGGACCCACTTCCAAAAGATTGCCTTCTGTCTGCTCTCCAACGTCGCCATGGCACTGGGAGTGCGATTCATCTCCATATTTGAGATAAGAGGTGAGTCCCACCTTTCCCCAAGGGAAGCTGTCCCGATGCCCTGTCACTGCTGACGAGCAAGGGTGACCTGCGTCCCCACGAGAGCCGCACTGCACTCTTCATTCGGTGTCCTGAGCCATTTCTGATGTCCTGAAGCCCCAGTAAAGTTGTAGGACATGCTTCCCACCACACAGCTTGCAGCCTGGTTTGGGAGCAAAAGTAAATTGTATTAATGATCTAGGAGACGATATGCCCAGGCAGTTGCACAGATACAAAAGATACAGAGTCGTGATTCGCTTCGCTTCACACTTTTAGAATTTTATGGATACGTGGAGAGCTATCTACATGCGCCATGTTTTAGTCTCACAGCCTTCGGGGTCCATCTAGGGGACTTTCCGTCAGTGGTGTTCTGCTTCCAACTGCCACATTTGGAAGCCCACCCCCAAGTTTTCACCCGTCATGTCCTGGAGTCGGAAGGATGCTCAGAATGCCAGCAGTCACGCAGAGGATTGCAGCTAGCGGATCACACCGTGGGGGCCCGCGGGGCTCGGGCGCTTTCTGCAGGAAGCCGTCCTACATTTCAGCGGCACTGAGGTGACCTGCTGTGAACGCTCCAGCAAGTGTCTTCATTGCTCAGCGCTGGCTTTCATCACCAGAGTCCTGGCTGCAGACGCTGCGGCTTGGCTTCGCGGCAGACAGCAGGGCTAGCGGTTACAGCAGGAGCTGGGCCGTGCGCCCTCGTACCGCAGTGGCCAGTATCTTCAGCCACCTGCTGAGGCACCGTCTGCCAATAAATTTCTTTGTTAAGTTGGGATGGTCTAGATGGGTGAAGGGTGCTTCAAATATAATGAAGCGTGTTAAGTTGACCAGAATTCATTGCAGGTGAGTGGTTTTCTTAAACAAAGCAGTGATGAGACCACACTTTGCAAACAGCGACGGGGAAACAGTATATTTAAAATGGTAGCTCCAGGGGCGCCCGGGGGGGTCAGTCTGTGAAGTGTCCGACTCTTGATTTCAGCTCAGATCGTGATCTCATGGTTTATAAGATCAAGGTTCATGAGATCAAGTCGCATGTTGGGCTCAGTGCAGACAGGGCAGAGCCTGCTTAGGAGTCTCTCTCTCTCTCTCTCTCTCTCTCTCTCTCTCTCCCTCTCTCTCCCTCTCTCTCTCCTGCCCCTCCCCCCCACTCTCATGTGCATGCTCTCTCTCAAAATAAATAAACATTTAAAAAAGTACCTCTGATTCCTTCCATGTTAGAGAGTGAATAGGGGAACTTTCTGGAGCCTATCTATTGAGAGTAGAAAGAACTTGGCTGAGCGGGTGGGCTGGACAAGCTCGTGGGTTTGTTCCCACGCTAGGATTCTTTCCGGAAGAAGTTGAAACAAGATTTGGCAGGGCTCCAGTGCGGTCCTGATGGCTGTGGGGGCCCGAGCATCCTGGATGGGCCGAGATGGCCCGGCTCTCACGCCTCTGCCTCCAGCAGTCACGAGGTGTGGACCACCCAGAAAGGGGCGTGCGGAGTCTGACGGCTGAAAGCCGGTGGCCACAGCACACCCAGCAACTGAGGTGACAGCTTTCAGGACGGGGAGCAGGAAAGTATACCCTCGCATCCTTATGCCCACCGCTGATAAGGGGAGGTGCCGTGGTGCCGACTGCGTCATGGAAGAAGAACAAAGGGGAGAACCGCCCCCGCGAACCTGTTACCAGCTGGTTCTCTGGGGGGAGCTGCAGCCCGGGTGACCCGGCAGGGGGAGGCCGGGACCCTCAAGCAGCGACCTTACTCCAGGTGGCCCTGGGATGACCGAGCCCCGACCCAGGTGCCTGGCAGAAGCACTTCCATCCCCTGTCTTGGCGAATCCTCATTTTCAAGTAAAAAGCAATGAAAAACATAAGGAAATAAACTGCACGGACGAGAGCCAACAGAAACAAGAGAAAGTAAAAAACAGATTCAGGAAGTCCTCACATTCTGGAATTATCAAAGCCCAGATTACGAAACAATAATGCTCCTTATATGTTCTTTTAATAAAGACAGGTTGGAAAATATCTGCAGCAATAAGGACACAATACTCCTTCTGGGAAATATAAAATAACAATCAACCAAGGAGCAAACTTCGTGGATGGGTTACCAGTAGATTTGAAACAGCCAAGGGAGGATTATGACCTGGAAGCTGGTGAGAAGAAACTACGCAGAAGGCAGCAAAGAGGACCAAAAAGAATAGAAAATGTCAGAAGAGTTGAAAACACACACAGAAGAGAATATTTTGCCTCCATGTAAGCAGACATCTAGCAGGAAAAGAGAGAAGGGGCAGAGGGAATGCATCTGAAGAGATGGTGTCCAGATCTGTTCCCGGACTCGATTCAGGGAGCCCAGTAAATCCCAGACGGGAGGAATAAGAAAGTGACACTAGATGGGGCACCTGGGTGGCTCAGTCGGTTAAGCGTCTGACCTCGGCTCAGGTCATGATCTCATGGTTTGTGGGTTCAAGCCCCACATCGGGCTCTGTGCTGACAGCTCAGAGCCTGGAGACTGTTTTGGATTCTGTGTCTCCCTCTCTCTCTGACCCTCCCCTGCTCATGCTGTCTCTATCTCAAAAATAAATAAAACATTAAAAAAAAAAAGAAATCTACACTAGACATACCAGCGTACGGCTGAGCATAGCAGATGGCAAGAGAGAATCTTACAAGAAGCCTGAGAAACAAAAAGAGACATTGCTTTTCAACAGAGCAGCAGTGGGAGCCTGAAGACAGTGATCTCATACATTGGTTGTGTAAAATAATAATAATAATATAACAACAACAACGACGACAGGGATACCTTGGGTTTTTTTAAGAAAAAACTTTTAATGTTTATTCATTTCTGAGAGAGAGAGAGTGTGTGTGTGCGCGCAAGTGGCGGAGGGGCAGGGAGGGAGGGAGACACAGAATCTGAGGCAGGCTCCAGGCCCTGAGCTGTCAGCACAGAGCCCGACATGGAGCTTGAACCCACGAACTGTGAGATCATGACCTGAGCCGAAGTCGGACGCTTAACCGACTGAGCCACCCAGGCGCCCCTAGGCTTTTGGTTTTGGGGGTTTTGAGAGAGAGGCAGACAGAGTGGGAGCATGCAAGTGGTGGAGGGGACAAAGGGAACCTTAAGCAGGCTCCACACTCAGCTCAGAGCCCGGCACAGGGCTTGATCCCATGACCCTGGGATCATGACCTGAGTGGAAATCAAGAGTCCGATGCTCAACTGCCTGAGACACGCAGGCTCCCCGCTTTAGGTTTTTATGTGTTTAACAGGTAGAATTAAAATACATGAGAGGGGTTTTGGAAGGGGTCGTGTCAGAACCCAAAGGGAGTAAATACTTTCCAGAAGGAGAATACAGATAATTAACTTTAGACTTTGCAACATAAAGCAGACCTGGTGACTCATTACTGAGCCAAGCAGAAGGCCAGAAGCAGTGCATAACGTTCAAACTTAATAGAAAAAGGAGTAACCAAATATTGGCTGAGTCCAAAAGTGGCAGAGGACTTTGGTCTTGTGCCCACCTCCCCTGCGTGGGGGCCGGAAGTCAGGGAGCAGGACGGGCACACCGGGTTCAGAACAGTCTAGATGGAGCGGACCTGGGGGAGACTCCTCCCACACTCACCCTCTTCCTGAACATAATTAGATAAATTGTGAGAGGAAGTCACAGCTAATCCCTACCTGATCCAAACTCTAGACTTTTTTTTTTTAATGGAACTTGATGAGCTGGTTCTCAAATTAAAAATTTTTTTAATGTTTATTTATTTTTGAAAGAGAGAGAATGAGCGCCAGCGGGGGAGGGAGGGGGCAGAGAGAGAGAGAGAGAGAGAGACAAAATCGGAAGCAGGCTCTAGGCTCCGAGCCGTTAGCACAGAGCCCAATGTGCAGCTCACAGACCATGAGATCATGGCCTGGGCCAAAGTTGAATGCACAAACGACTGAATCACCCAGGCGCCCCCTCAAATTTAAATGAAAGCACAGAGAAGCAAGAATGGCCAAAACTGCTTCAGGAAGAACAAGATGGGAAAACTTGTCTTACTGGACGTGATGGTTTATCATAGAGCAATCATAATTCAGATTGACAAAAAAGACTGATAGAACAGAAAAACCAAGGCCAAAGGCACAGTTGAAGGTCAGCAGTGACGCTGGCCCCCAGCAGGGGAGGCGTCAGTAAATGCTGCTGCGGGGACAGGAGAACCTTCTGGGGAGCTTGAAACTGGACCCCCAAATCAGAGCCCCCACAGAAGTCAATTCCAGTGTCAAACCGTGTAATGCTCTTGGAGATGATGCTATAAGAGAGAACACTCCTGTCCTCGAAGTGGGGAAGAGTTCTTAAACAAGACACAAAATAACTGACCGTAAAGATGGATGGATTTGATGTCAGAATTAAGATACCACATGAGAGGGGCGCCTGGGTGGCTTAGTCGGTTGAGCGTCCGGCTTTCGCTTAGGTCATGATCTCGCGGTTCGTGGGTTTGGGCCCCGCGTCGGGCTCTGTGCTGACTGGCAGCTCAGAGCCTGGAGCCTGTTTCAGAGTCTGTGACTCCCTCTTTCTCTGACCCTCCCCTGCTCACGCTGTCTCTCTCTCTCTCTCTCTCTCTCCTAGAAATAAATAAAAAACATTAAAAAAAATTTAAAAAAAAGATACCACATGAGAATGAAGAGAAGCTGTAGAGCGAAACGCATGTATCTCACAAAAGGCTTGCGTCCAGAGCATTTACAGAATTCCTACAAATCAATTAAATATTAGAATTAGAAGTAAAAGTTGGGGGGCGCAAAAAGACTTGAATTGGATTTCACAGAAAAGCGTATCCCGGTAGCTGATGAAGGTGTGCAAGCCAGAAGCCAGGAAGTGACCTCTTTAATGCACTCAAGGAAAACGCTGCCAACCTGGCGAAAACTGAGTGAGAAACAGACTCACTCTAATTAAGAAAAGCTGACAGAATTGACAGCGGGGAGACATTACCAGAAATGCAGAGATCTTCAGGCAAAAAGAAACCAGACCAAAGGTCGGATCTACGCAGAGCGATTAAAGGCATCGGACACAGAAAATACTTTGCCTTTTGTGCATTGTTTTGTTTTTGTTCTTTGCGCTGAAGGTGAGCTGTCGAAGGCAAAGGCAGGAGCACCGTACGGTGTTCGGAGCCCCTGCAGAAGTAAGATGTAGGATGGTAGCAGACGGTGGGGGAGGACTGGGAACACACTGTCGTAAGGCTCTCACGGGGCGCGCGAGGGGGGTATGACGTCACTGGACAACACACTCTGGTTAAGAACGTTACGTTGGAAAGCCTACAACAGCAGCAAAGAGATTTTTAGAAGTATAAATAATAAATCAACAGTGGCAATATGGAATCATGAAAAAATTCTGCATGAATGCAAGGAAAGAGAGGAAAGGAGGAGAAGGAAAAAACAAATGTTTGCAATAGCAAGTAAAGAGCTGGCAAGACGGCGGACTTTAATCCAGACAGTCAGGAATCGCATCAGCCGTGAATACCGATTAACAGAGACTGTCAGACTGCGCAAGAGGCAAGACCCAGCTGCCTGCACACACTTTGCCAGGGGTGGGGGGGTATGGGGGTGTGCGCTCTGGGGCGGGCAGCGACTCGCCTGGGGGGGGGCAGGACCCACCGGTATTGCCTGCTAAGCTCCAGGTTACGCATTCTTCGATGTGCACGTTCACAGAAACGCGTGAGGTGTCTGCCGGGGTGGTGCAGGGGCCCCGCGGCTATGCCACCTGCACCCTGCAGACTGGCACTGCATCAGGATGTACCTGGCTCTCCAGCACCACATGTGCTCAGTGTAGACCGCGGCCTTGGAATCCACCCTGAGCCCTGCGAGGTCGGACTGTCAGCCACAGTGGAAGGCGATGCTCTCCGCTGGACAAGTTGCGGGATCTCCTCCCAGGAAGGGCCTCAGAGGCCGCCTCAGAGGCCGCATCTTCATCCCCACAGCAGCGTCAGCACCGCCCCAGAGAGTGTGGAAGCGCAGGCTCCCAGGGTGGGGAGGGGGGAGGCGTGACGCGCCCTGTGGGAGCAGAACCCCCAGGTGCTCAGCAAGCACTAGAGACTGAGGAGCAGCGAGCTAGCCCATCTGTGTGCTCCCCTGCCGCGCTCGAACCCCTCCCCCGGCGTTGCTGGTTCCTGCCACCGAGCCTGCAGGCGGCAGCAGACCTCAGGATCGCAGACGCTTTCAGTGAGAAGCCTCGTCAACTGACACTCAGATTAGACACTTGGTGCCACACAGGCTGCTTACCTCCCTGTGCGTCCAGGACCTGGTCCCAAGCCCACTCCTCTGTACCCTGCTGGATTCATGGAAAAGGAGTATGTGATCGCCCACACCACTCAAGGCACCGGGTCAGGGGTGTGTGAGCTCACACAGCACTGAAGGCCCTGGGTCAGGGGTGTGTGAGTGCACACAGCACACGAGGCCCCGGGTCAGGGTTGTGTGAGTGCCCACAGTACAGGAAGCCCCGGGTCAGGGCTGTGTGAGCACCTGCCGAACTCAAGGCCCCGGGTCAGATGCTGCAGATAAAGTGATGGGTGAGCGATAACTTGGGCAGGTTCACTTCGCAGAGTCTGATGCTCTCTGATCGCAGTTAGTTCAGGATGCGGGGGGGGGGGGGGGGGGGGGGGGTGGGCGCATACCCCAGCCGGGAAAGGAGGGGCAGGGAGAACGCGTGCTCGCAGGGTAAGGAGACCCCTGCGCGGCCCTCACCCAGGTGAGAGTTAGCCCAGCGGACAAGGCAGGCAGCAGGTGCAGAAGTGGGGAAGCATCTCGGACAAAGGCGCCCCTACTCGGTGCCAGTGAAGACACTGCCGCCTTCTGGCAACGTTCTATCCCGTGGGAGACACAGCTCTGGCTTCCCCTTCCTGTGCCTTGCGTTTGTCCCCTAACGCCCCCGACATGAACTCTCCAGGCCTGTCGGCGGCCGGAGCGGGACGCTGTGCCCTCCGCGCTGACTGTTGCCCTTCCTCTGGGGCAGGCACAGGCATGCGCTGGAAGAACGCGGGCGGCTTGAGCGGGGAGTTTAACTTCTGTCAGGTGCTGCTGCTGCTGCTGCTGGACTCCGTCTTGTACAGCACGGTGGCCTGGTACGTGGAGGCCGTCCTCCCGGGCGAGCACGGCGTGCCCAGGCCCTGGTACTTCTTCCTCATGGTGAGTACGGGCGCTGCTGCTCTGCAGACGGGCGCCAGACCTGCTGCCGCCTCCCCCCATACCCTCACCCGCCGTGGCGGTGTCCCGATTGAAGTCTCAAACCCCAGGGCACCTAAGCTGGGTTCTCTACCCTGGATTCACCCCGAAACTCTCAGCCTGCGGTCACCAAGGGAGCACAGTTAACGAGTCTCAGACCCCTGCCCCCGGCTGGTGCCCCGTGCAGAGGCCCTGAAAGCATGCGCCCACTCTGACGGTAGGTCCCGAGTGCCCCCACGGGACACCACAGCCTCTTTTCCATCTGGGCTGTTGACGTGGCCCTGACGCCCTCTGACACCCTGAGACCTGGGGCGCTGGCAGGGCGCAGCCTCCCCTGGCGACCCCGACAAGTTCTCAGAGTCACTCTCTCCTGCGATGGCTACGTTGGCCTGACAAGGCAGCGTCCCCTGTGGATGCAGCGCTCCCGCGCCCCGCCAGCGGCCCGTTGTGAAGCAGGATGACCCTGTCTGATGTGCGCAGGCACTCACTTCGGCCCTGCCCAGAGTGTGGAGAAGTGGCCGCCCCGGGTTTTCTCCAGGCCTGCGCCACAGGGAGGCTTCCCCGGCACGCTGTGAGCCTGGCTGGGGGCATCTCGGTCGCTCGCTCCATCCTCAGGCCCATAATCGTAGGCTGAAATGCGGCTTGTTGGTAGCAAGTCCATGAGCAAGTTGCTCGACGTCTCCAGGCACCACTAAACATTTGGGACCAGGAAACTTGGGGGGCTGGAGGCGGAGGGATGTGAATTTGATTTACCAAAATGTTTACCTCCCCGCAGCAGACAGTGGACTCTCTGCACCTGCTAATGTCAGTTGCCTTTCTGTGTAGCCGTCCTACTGGCATGGACAGCCCGTGCCCCTCACGCGGCCAGCGCTGGACATGGGGGATCAGGACAGATCTCCGAACAGCAAGTTCATTCAGGAAGAGCCTACGAATTTGAAGAAAGGGATCGAAATCCAACATCTCTACAAGGTATCCGCTCACAAATCTCCTTCCAAGAATCGAAGAAGCAGATGCAGAGGCTTCTGTTTTATTCTGCCGGTGGTTACAAGGCACGTTTCCTGACCGGGGTCTTATTTCCTCCTGGAATGGTGTCCTCAAAAGAGGAACCTGATGTGAATGCCCTGTCTCCTGTGGTGCAGTTAAGTGGAGGAGGAAGGAAGGTCTGGACGACCTCTCTGGAAATAACCCGCTGCCTCACCCCTGGCTTGCCAATGCCCCTGCGCGGGCACACCCTGGGACTCAGCCCCTTGGTGGCTGAGGTCCATCCTCCGAGGCTCACACACCCAGCCACTCGGAGCTCTGGCTCTCAGGGCCGGCCTCCAGATGGGGCGTGCTTGTCTGTCACCAGCGCTGGCTGAGCCCTTCCTGCTGCAGAGCCCCGCGTGACTAATCAGCGCCGTGACGGGATGCCTGGACCTGAGCCCTGTGTCCAGGCACGTCCCACATTTTCCCCTTTGGCCCCTTCCGTCCTTCAAACGCGAGAAGTCCGGAGGAGAGGCGGTTTCCTCCTTCTGACCACGCAGCCTTGTCACGTGCACGCCCTCCTCTGCCTGTGGCAGCTGCTGGGGGAGGTGGCACATCCCGGCCCGGGGACGGCTCCAACTCCCCCACGGGCTGCGGCAGCCTACACACCTGTGGCTTCAAGAAGCAGGGATCCTTGTTCTGCTCACCTAACAGGCTGTCTGCAGCCACACAGTTCTGGCACAATTTCTCAGGGGGCTTGGCCAGGTAATGCGGGGCAAGTTGTGGCTCTAGAAGCAGGGAGAAATCTCCCCACCAAGCTCTGAGCCCTTTGTCCTCGAGCTCTGGCCTCCGTGACTCGGGTACCAGGGAGAACCCTCAGCAGCCCCCCGTCAGCTAAACCCTGAAAGGAGGCCTCCCTTCTAGAATTCCACTTGGATTCGCACCGATGGGCTTCCAGGGGAAGTTGGGCTGGGTCACAGGTTCTTCAGGAATGCCACGCATGTACATGTCCTCCGCGGTTGGTCACACGTTGGATTTTCTGCAGGTGTATCACACGGGAAAGAATACACATGTGGCAGTCAAGGACCTGACCATGAATCTGTACCAGGGGCAGATCACTGTTCTCCTGGGACACAACGGAGCCGGCAAAACCACCACATGCTTCATGCTCACAGGTACCTGCACGGCCCCCCCACCCTTGGGGAAGAAAGCACTGAACAGGCCCTGAATTCTGTTCTGTTTCCCTCGTTAGATCTCAGTGATGTTTTAATATGAAGCATTATGTTTGTGTTTATGCCACCTGTATCGTGTCTGGCTGTCTATGTGACTCTGCACCAGGAAAAGGAAATCTTTGGCTCTTTCAGCCTGCAGAATCTGATCTCACAGGCTGTGAGCTGTGAGCACTGCCCTGCGTGTTTCATCCCAGTTAGAACCTACTGGTACAGGGAGGCGCCACTAATCTCCTAACCATGAAATCCATCCATTTGCTTCTGACTGCTGGGGGTGGCGGGGGCTCAGTTAGGACGAGGCCTGGAGAAGTATTCTACGATTATTTCAGTTTCACAATCATTTGGATGCCTAAGTAGTTCTTACACACTCAGTCAGCTAAAATAATAGGCTGTGATATTTGAGACTTTGTTCATTCTGCAAACATGAATTTATGGGAGGCTTAAGCTGTGTAAAGCTCTGCACAAAACCAACGACACACATTTCTGAGCTTCGAGGAACTCTGAGAGCCAAGCAGTCACAGGCGTCCACACTGCCGGGGAAGCTATCAGCATCTCAGAGTCAGGCTGCCTCGGTTGCCCTCTCAGGCCGCTACGCACCTTCTCTGGAAGATTCTGACGAGGGGCAAAGGAGAAACTTGGTCCGAGGAGCCGTTGGCCACCACCGCACCCCCACCCCCGGCATTGGGATGTTAGGATCCGAGGCTCAGCCCTGCAGACGCTAACTGGACAGGCTCTGTGTGTGTCAGGACAGGGGACTGAGCCCAGCAGGTGTCCTGGACTTGGGGGCAGAGCTGTATCTAGACGGGCTCCTTGTCAGGTGTGGGCAGTGCTGATGCCAGAGGCCTCTTCTCCTGTATGGACTTGAGGTCCTCAGTGCCTGCAGGGTGACCCAGCTAGACCCCCAGGCCACATGACCAATGTCCTAGTGTTGTTCAAAGACAAAGACATAAACCGCCCCCCCACACACACACACACCCCCACTCTTCCCCAGCGCCTCCCTCTCTGCTGTTCCCAGCAGTGGTCTGTGTATATGTGTGCCGTCTCTGTCTCCCCCATCCGTCTCTCCAGAGAATCTGTCCTGTTTCCTTCTGGGACAGCAGTGCCTGGATCAGTGCTTGGCAAAGAACAGGCACACAGTAAATACTATTCAACAAACGACTGAATGAATGAATTCATGCACTTGCAAGTTCTGCCAAGACGTGGACCATGAATGACATCTCAGAGAAGATCAGCCACGGATCTACCGGCAGTGACAATGGCACAGAAAATAAAAAGGCAACATGGCGCTGGACAAAGTGGCATCACTGAAAGTTGCAGACCAGACTGAAAAGCCCTGGCGATGCTAAGCAGGGAAGGGAAGGTCTGGCTGATGGCCCAGGACTCTGAACACCAAAGGGCTTCTCTACCGGAGCGTTTGCATGGAGGCCCCAAAGTCGGCACAGGCCTGTTTTGTATCCGGAACCCCATTTTTCCACCCTGTAAAGATAGGTGGGGGTTAAAAATTTTTTTTTCTAAGAGTTATTCTATTATTATAACTATATACGAAAAGATTTCTGCGTTTACTGTAGAACGGTATCACTTTTTCCTTCCCCCCCACCCCCCCGCAAACCATCATGGTGCTTCATCTGCCACAGGCAAAAGGAAAGATCCCAAAACTCCATCAGTGGGTTATTTGGCAGGAAGTATCAAAAACCTGAAAGTCCTGTCCCCTCTTCAACCCTGAATCTACTGACGTTGGTTTGGAGTCAGGAAGTGTATGGGGAGGAAGGCAGAGTCGAGATACATGTTCACACTCATGAAACACTGCAAACTACCTAAATACCTGCTAGCATGGTGTGAATCCATAAACAGACTATATTCATAACAAGGAAATCCGGTGAGCCTTCACAAATTATATAGATCTCGTTGATGTGGAGAAATGGCCTCAGGAGACTGTTTTGTGAAAAAGTCAGTTTAAAGAACCAGAATTTATATTTTCCCATTTTTGCTAGGAACTTAACACGTGAGTCAGCATATGCATAAGAACATAGCAGAAGGTATGCAAAACAAGGTTAACAGCAGTCATGCTTACAGGCTGCGATCTGCATAACCTTCCTTTGCTTTGCCCTTCTTTTAACCCTGTTGCAATAGACATTTATGGCCTTTTTCAGTCTGAAAAAATGTACTTAAAATAAGACAATAAGAATAGGGGGCGCCTGGGTGGCTCAGTCGGTTTAGCGTCCAACTTCAGCTCAGGTCATAATCTCACAGTATGTGGGTTCAAGCCCCAAGTCGGGTTCTGTGGGGAGAGCTCGGAGCCTGGAGCCTGCTTGAGATTCTGTGTCTCCCTCTCTCTCTGCCTCTCCTCAACCTGTGCTTTGGCTGGCTGGCTGTCTCAAAGATAAACAAACATTAAAAAAGTTTTTTTAAGAAAGTGAGAATAAAGGCAGAGAGAGCACACAGATGAGTCGCAGACACCTCCCCACATGCACTGGGCAAGGGATGCAATCACTTATGGCCTCTGTGGGAATTTACATGGAATTTACTGGGAATTTACATGGAATCCATCCTGGGTCTCAGTTCAAACCTGTTAGATGCCCCAAACAGCCTTCTCCTGAACCACATTTCAATAGTACTCTTAGTGCTCATCTCAGTGCAAGCATTAGGTGCACCTCCTTGTGCTTTATTCACCTAGGCAGGCTGGCGCTCCGGAGATGCAGGAAGGACGTCGCCTGCCTCCATTGCCCCCACACATCCTCATTCACTGTCACAGGACATCTGTGCCTTGGATGTTCCCAATCGTGACAATGAAGAGGTGGTCTGCGTGCCAACACACAGAGGGCCTTTGCTCCATTGCATGCTCTGACTGAAGGTGACCTTGGGATATGTCTTCTCCTTGCTCCTAGGTCTTATTCCCCCTTCAAGTGGGTGGGTGTATATCAACGGATATGAAATTTCACGCAATATGGTGGAGATCCGGAAGAGCATGGGCTGGTGCCCCCAACACGACATCTTGTTCGATGACCTCACCGTGGCGGAGCATCTTTCTTTCTATGCTCAGGTGAGTCTGTGCGCCACAGGCTGTTTCCTCTGCGCCCATCCCTGGTGATGGGAAGGTAGGCTGCAGCTCCCTGACCCAAGCTCAGAAGGTCTTGAAACCACTTTTGGTCACTGTTCTTAACCGTTTGGGGAGGAAGCGGGGCAGGGGGTATTATTAGGGCAGTTTGATTATGAAGGATACAAATCGGGACCAACCAAACTAAGAGACACACACAGGCCGAGGCTGGGAGAGTCCCACACGTGAAGCTTCCATGTCCTCGGGACGCATCACCCTGCTGGCAAGTCGCTGTGTAGTGGGGCAGCTCACTTACCCCGCAAGTGTCCAGTTTTTGTTTTTTGTTTTTTAAGTTTTTTGAATATTTTTATTTTTGAGAGAGATAGAGAGGACAGAGCATGAAGAGGGGAGGGGCAGAGAGAGAGGGAGACCCAGAATCTGAAGCAGCTCCAGGCTCTGAGCTGTCAGCACAGAGCCTGATGCAGGGTTCGAACTCAAGAACCGCGAGATTACGACCTGAGCCGAAGTTGGACGCTTAACCGACTGAGCCCCCAGGCGCCCCAAGTGTACAGTTTTTACTGGGGGCTCATTACCTAGGCCTGAATGAGGGAATCATGGGCCATGTGACTGAGCTCCATCTGCAGCCTCTGCAGGCCCCTCCCCCCCAGCTCCTCAGTCAGTTCATTAGCGTCATTCATGTGTGGCCCAAGGGTGCCACCTTGAGTAACAAGGATGCACTTATCACTCCGAGGGTGCAGAAGCCCCTCCCAGTGGCTGAGGACAAAGGCCAGCCCAACTCTTGAGTGTGCAACAGTTAGATTTCTGACCTGCTGCCCGTCCCCTGGCTCCTCGGGTAACTCCCACTTGATCATGAGGCACAATCCTTTACTTAATACGCTGCTCTGCTTAGTACTGATGAGACTTCGATACACGTGGTTCAAAACCCAAGAGCCTGGTGTCCATCCCTTTCCCTGAAGGCACTACTGTCTGGGGCATAGTTTATGTAGGTAGTAGCAAAATGCTCATGAGACAGGCAGGCCTCGACCAGCGCGGCGGGGAGGGAAGTCAGGGCAGCGTCACGGCACACGGAGGGCAGGAGGAGGCGCCGAGGCCGGGGGCCCCTGCCGGACGCCCCTGTCTCCCGCTGTCTCAGCTGAAGGGCCTGTCCCGCCACAAGTGCCCCGAGGAGGTGCAGCGGACGCTGCGCGCCCTCAGCCTGGAGGACAAGCGGGACTCCCTGAGCAGGTGCCTGAGCGGGGGCACGAGGCGCAAGCTGTCCATCGGCATCGCCCTCATCGCGGGCTCCAAGGTAGGCGGGCGGGAGGCCCCGGGGCCGGGCGCCGAGCACGGCGGGCAGGCGCGGGGGGGGCGGCACAGCGGCGTCGGGCTCGGGCCCCCGCGCGGCCCCGGACGCCCCGCGGGGAGCAGCCTTGTGAGGACGGAGCCGCCCGCCCCTCGGCCCGCAGGTGCTGATGCTGGACGAGCCCACCTCGGGCATGGACGCCGTCTCCAGGAGGGCCATCTGGGACCTGCTGCAGCAGCACAAGAGCGGCCGCACGGTGCTGCTCACCACGCACTTCATGGACGAGGCCGACCTGCTGGGGGACCGCGTGGCCATCATGGCCAAGGGGGAGCTCCAGTGCTGCGGGTCCCCGCTGTTCCTGAAGCAGAAGTACGGTGAGTGGGCGGGGCCCAGAGGCCGGTCGCGAGGAGGGCGCCGGAGCGGACTCAGACCCGGAGGCGGGACGCTGATGTCTGAGCGCCATGCTGCCGGGTTTATGGCCTCTCCATTCGGGCAGCCAGGGTTTTATCCTTCTTCCGCGTCCTTTTCCGCTCTATCAAACGGAGGTTCAGGAACCGTGTGAGCCAGCGTGTGCGAAGCGCCTGTACAGGGCAGGCTGTGTCCACAAGCGGCTCCCTTGTTCCCCTGGAACCCACAGCCGCCGCTCTCTCGCTGCCCCCGTCCTTCCTCTACCGGCTGACCGGGTGACCTCACCCAGACCGGACCCCTTCCCGAGCTCCACGTGCTGGGACGCGGCCCGGCTCTGGGGGACTTGTCCAAATCCTGCGCAGACCTGGGCTCCCGCCACCACACCCACTGACTGCCCAGAGCACAGCAGCTGCGTTCTTCTGGGATCTTGGCCAAAGCCTTGCAGGCTCATTGACACCTCCATCTCTCAGAGCCCATATCCGGTCTGTTCCCAAATCCTAGGGGGCCTTCCCTTCCCCCCTCAGTCCCACACCTGTCTAGCACCCTGGGAGGGTGTCCATCCTCTTCCCGGATTGTCTCACTTGCCTGCAGACCCACCCCCGGCCTCTGCCCTCTTGTCAGAAGGAGCCTATCACTCTTCGGCTCAGCCCTGCGGTGACCTCCCCTCCCACCAAGGGTAAACGCCAGAGTCCTGTGGCGCACAGGCCTTGCTTCGCCTGGTCTGCCCTGTTTAAAATCACACTCCCTGGTAGCACCTGGGTGGCTCAGTCGGTTGAGCGTCCGACTTCGGCTCAAGTCATGATCTCATGGTTTGTGAGTTCCAGCCCTGTGTCAGAATCTGGAGCCTGCCTCAGATTCTGTGTCTCCCTCTCTTTTTTTTAATTCACACTCCCGACCCTCCAAACCCACTCCCGTGTTTATCTTTCTCCTTGGTGCATGGCTCAGGTCACTAATAGCGTATAGATTTCCCTGTTTATCTTACTGTCTGCCTCACACCCGTTTAATGAAATCCCATGAGAGCAAGGACTCCGACGGGTACCTAGGACAGTGCCCGTCTTATCACAAGGGCTCAAGAAATGGCTATTGAGTGGCCCCATAGCCAGTATAACGGTAACAAGAGCTACTGGTGTCAGAAAGGACGTTCAAAATGCCAAAAGCATGATGTGATTATTACAGAGGTAGCCGTTCGTTATGTTGACCAGCAAGGCCTCTGCCAAGCAGCTGCCCTCCACACAGCCCTCCGCCACGTTGGCAGCATTGCTAAGTCTGTCGTTACCATCTCCAGTCACCGAGCAGAAGGCCAGACCCTCTAGAATATGGCCCAGTTTACTGTGTGGAAACCATTCCACCCCACAGGGCCCCCCAGCCCCACTTTCCCAGGGAGCCGCCCCTTCCAAGCTACACAAAAGTGCGGCTGCAAAGAGTAAGACTGTTTTGTGCTCTTTGAAATGTTTCAGGTGCAGGATATTATATGACTGTGGTGAAGAAACCTCACTGTAGCACAGAGAAGATTTCCAATCTGATTTATCACCACATGCCCAATGCGATCTTGCAGTCCAACATTGGAGAAGAATTAACGTTTATTCTTCCTAAAAAGAGCATGCCCAGGTGCGGACCCCAGGCTCGGGAGGGCCTGTGTGCGTGTACGGAGCATCCAGAGCCCTCCCTGCACCCCGTCCCTGTCCTCAGCAAGCACTCTCTGCTCTGTGAGGGTCTGGATCCCCAGGCCTTTGGTACCTCCCGGAAAGACAGCACACTGTAGCCTGAGCACACCTGAAAACACGGGCTCTGATCATGTCACCTCTGTCCTTTAAAGCCCTCGATGGCGCCCAGCAGCCTTCAGGTTAAAGTCAATTTCTTAAATATGGCTTTACAGGGGCCCTTTACTGGGAGACTGAGGCCAGATGAAGGTTTTACCTGATTTTCTTTAATTATTTCAGACCCCAGATAGGTTCCCGGCACCCTTCACCCCATCCTCTGCATCACATTGTTCTCAAATAGGAATCTTACCTCCTACTATGAAGCTGAGAACCAGCAAACAAGAACCCTGTCTCACTCACACTACAAGCCTACCCTCACTCCTTTCTTCCTTCCATCTCCTTATAGCCAAGAACGTGGCCCCTTCCTGCCAAAGGCTTGCCCTTCAGCACCGGCTCGGGGTCTACCCACCTTGCCTTCTCTAGAACGCACCTGCTTGACTCGCCCCGCTCATCCACACCACCAATTTCTCTCTCCACTTGGTCACTTCCAGGAGCACCCGAACTCCCCACCGTTCTCCCCCAGCTCCGGGCACCCCCTGTTATATACTTTCTGTCTCTATGATCCAGACTGCTCTCCCTGCCTCAACGCACTGTCTCAATGAACTTTCCTATTGGCTTTCAGAGTCCTTTTGTGACTGGTTTAGATCACCAAGTATAGTGTCCTCAAGGTTCAAGGTTGTGGCGTTTTGCAGAATTTTCTTCCTTTTTAAGGCTGAATAATTTTTACACACACACACACACACACACACACACACACACCACGTTATGTTTATCCATAGCAGACACATGGGTTGCTGCCACATTTTAGCTGTTGTGAATAATGCTGCTATGCACACGGGTGCACAAATATCCCTTCACGACCCTGCTTTCCATTCTTTGGTGTATATTTCCTCACCACTCATATGTCTTCTTGGAAGCAATGTCTGTTACCCATTTTTCAAAAAACTTTTATTTATTAATTAATCTCTTCACCCAGCACGAGGCTTGAACTCATGACCCCGAGATCAAGAGTTGTGTGCTCTTCCGCCAGGTGCCCCCCGTTGCCCATTTTTGAATCAAGTTGTTTTTTTGTCACCGAGTTGTAGGGATTTGCTATACATTCTGGAAATTAATCCTGATTAGATACAGCATTTGCAATATTTTCTTCCATCCAGTGGGTTGTCTTTTTTTTTTTTTTTTAATGTTTTATTTCTTTTGAGAGACAGAGTTTGAGCAGGGGAAGGGCAGGGGTGGGGGAGACAGAGGATTTGAAGCAGGCTCTGCTCTGACAGCAGACAGCCCTGATGTGGGGCTCGACCCCACTGGGTTGTCTTTTTACTCCAATGGTAGTGTTTCTTGATACACGAATTTTTAAAATTTTTATGACATTTAATTTACTTTGTCCTTTGCTACCCTGCCTTTGGTGTCACATCCAAGAAGTCACCACCAGATCCCACGTCACGAAGCTCTGTCCTATGTCTTCTGAGAGTTGTATGATTTTAGGCCTTACATTTAGGTCGTCAATCTATTTCGAGTTCGTTTTTGTATGTGGTGTTATGTAGGGTCCCACTGCATGCTTTTGCGTGTGGATATCCAGCTTCCCAGACCCGTCTGTTGGAAAGACAGATGTCCTCCCCTCATTGAACAGTCTTGGCAACTTTGTCGAAAATCATTTGGGTATAAATGCGAGGACTTATTTCTAGGCTCTCCGTTCTCTTCCATCTATGTGTCTGTCTGCCAGTAATACACTGCTGGGGTTCCTAGAGCTTCTTAGAAGGTTGGAAATCAGGAAGTTTAAGTGCTCCAGTTTTGTTCTTTTTTGAGATTGTTTTGGTATTCAAAACATGTATATGTTTATATGGTATATTTATATGGTATTTGAGATTCCATATAAATCTTAGGATGGGATTTTCTATGTCTGTGAAAAACCTCTTTTGGTAGGGACTGCACTGCATCTGCAGATTGCTCTGGGGCTGGTATTGATATTTTAACAAAATTAAGTCTTCCAGTCTGTAAACAGGGGCTGGGTTTCCATGTATTTACAACTTCATTCATTTCCTTCAGCACTGTTTTATAGTTTTCACTGTAGAAATCTTTCACTTCCTTGATTATGTTAATTCCTAAGTATTTTTTTTTTGATGCTATACGAAATGAGGTTATTTTTATAGTTTCCTTTTCAGATTTGTTCTTTGTATTTAGAGATGCAACTGATTTTTGTGCGTTGACTTTGTATCCTGCTACTTTGCTGAATTCATTGATGAGTTCTAACAGCTCCTTTGTAGCATCTTAGAGTTTTCTACATATAAGATATTGTCATCTGCAAACAGATAATTTTACTTCTTCCTCTCCAATCTGGATGCTTTTTACTTCTTTCTCTTGCCCGGCAGCCCTGACTAGTTTCCAGGTCCAGACACATTAGGCAGATTCTGCCAGCATGGCTGCTGCGTCATGGGAGGGGCACATTCCGGGTTCTTCCCACTCTGCCGGCCTCCTGGAATCCCTGTGTGACACATAGGCCCTCAGCCATGAGTCAGGCTCCTCAAAACACACACGGCAGAATTAAATTAGCACTTGATTACAAAAAGATATCTAGAAAATCCACAAATGTTTGGAAATTCAACACTACACTTCTGAATAACTTTGTCAAAGAGGAATTAGGAACGATCTGGGGGGCACCTGGTGGCTCAGTCAGTTAAGCGTCCAACTCTTGATTTTGGCTCAGGTCACGACCCTATGGTTGTGAAATCAAGCCCCACATCTGGCTCCCTCCTCAGCAAACACCCTGCTTAAGATTCTCTCTCTCTCTCTCTCTCTCTGCTCTTCCTCCACACTCTCTCTCTAAAAAAGAAAGAAAGAGAGAAAGAAACAAAGAACAAAATGTGATGAAAACACAACAGATCCAACATGTTCAGATTCTGCTTGAGTGGCGCCTGGAAGTTAAGATACTGCTTTGAAACTCTTACATTAGCAAAGAAGAAAGGCTTAAAATCAATGACCTAAGTTTCCAACTGAAAGAGAAAGAAAAATAAGAGAAAAAAATCAAGCGCAGAGAACAGAGAGAAAAGAAATAATAAATATCAGGAGAAGGCAAATGATGAAATAAGAAGCCAAAAAAAATCAAGCAATCTAAAATCACCAGATGTTGTTTATTAAAAATATTAATAAAAGTGACAAGCCCCTGCTAAAGCCATTAAAGAAAAACAAGAAGAAAGACAAGAAGCAGCATCAGGAATAAATGGACCGTTCTGCACACCGAGCACACAGTCAGGACGGGACAATGAGAAAATATCACAGAAAAATTGAATGATTCAGACACAACAGACTGATTCCTTGAAAAACAAAACCCCACAAAACTGACACCAGTGAAAGAGACGAAGCCAAATCACTGCGCATCTACTCACGAGCTCAAATTTGCAACAACAAATGTTCCCGAAAAGAAAATGCCAGGTCCTATCAAATGCTGAGGAAATTAAAAAAAAAAAAAAAAAAAAATAGACAAAGGGGCAGCTCCCAACCTCTTCAAGGGTACGAGTCTCTGGTAGCAAAGCTCTGGCACATGAACATGGACACAAAATCTTTAAACAAATTACGAGCCGGCGAATGGACCTACCTGTGGGTCCCAGGATGGCTTTGCCCCCAGGTCTGGGGCCTCGGGGGGTTTCCTGGAAGGCTCGGCCCAGCCAGGACCGCTGACCACAGCATGGACGCGACCCTCCGGGGCACGGTGGCTTCCTGGTGGCCCAGGGCTCTGAGAAACCACGGGAGAGCCCATGCGCTTCCTCTGACCCCCAAGACTTCCACCCAAACATCGGTCAACAGGAGAAGCAGTACTCAAACTGGGGCATATTCCTTCTGGTGAACACCCACCCCCACACACATAATGAGCAATAATAAACTAGTAACGTGTGCAAACCACATGGTCAAACAAGCTGCACAGAGGAAACTAGATACAAAGCAGACTGATTCCACTTACGTGAAGACAAGGAACCTCTGGTCATGGAAATGGAGACTGGTCGTCCGCAGACAGGAGAGGGCACCCTCTGAAAGGGGCGGCAGGAGCACTTCGTAGGGTGATGGAAAGGTCCACCTCTTGGGGCACCTGGGTGGCTCTGTCAATGTCTGAGTGTCTGACTTTGGCTCAGGTTGTGATCTCACGGTTCGTGAGTTCAAGCCCTGTGTCAGGCTCTGTGCTGACAGCTCAAAGCCTGGAGCCTGCTTCAGATTCTGTGTCTCCCTCTCTCTGCTCCTCCCCCACTGGCATGCTCGCTCTCTCTCTCTCTCTCTCTCTCTCTCGAAAATAAACATTAAAATTTTTTTCTTCTAAAAACTAACATCACCTCTTGACTGACATGAGAACAAGGCATCTCACGACATGCAAATTTTACCACAATTCTTCAAAAGCGACATATTGAACGTGTTACAAGGCATAGCAACCGATGAGCACAATTTCTATAAATGGAGACTGAAGAGCCAAACAGGACTATTGGACACACAGCCCGGGCCAGCTGCTCTGCAAAGCACCCTTCTGTGCACCTCGCTCTTTAGACTCTGCGCAGGAGGTGGTCTCTACCCGACGGATGAAAGAGGAGAAAGAGCTAGCCGCGAGTCACACAACCAGGCAGGGCAGAGTCCGCATATAGACCCGGCCCCAGTCAGTGCACTGTGCAAACTCTTAACCCACCGGTTGTCCTCGGGGGCAGATGAGACACGGTGCAGTCTCCTGCAGGCACCAGGCATTTCTTACAGGCACTTTGCTGGCCTGCACACCGGGCTGTGAACGAGCGGATAGGGGAGTGTGGACTTCTTAATATCACTCAAAAAGCCACGATTCATTCGTGTGTGAATAAGGAAGGGTTCGATATCAGCAGG